GTACAGAATCCGGAGTAATGACCAATACCATTAACACCTTATTCTAACTCTTATGGCCCCTAAATTGCTTAGGCTTTTGCTGCTGGCATTTTTTACCGGTTTAGGTTTATACGGGAGAGGGTTTGAGGTTTGGTTTTTGATGAGCTTTGAACCCAAGAACCGTGACACCCGACTGCCAGAACCCTTCGAAAACATCTCCCAGACCCGAACCCTACACCCCAAATCCCAAGCCCGTGAAGCCCCTTTGCCCTACATAAGCCACAAACCCTAGTCACTAGTCCACAAACTCCAATTCTCCCAACTCTAAACGCTGAGCCCGAAACCCCAATCTTATATGAGCAGGCTTTTGACTCTGCTGCAGTGGAGAAAGAAGTTATTGCACTTAAAAAAACGCCCAAATTCCAAACAGCCACAGCCCTGATGCAAACAGAGCCCAGGCGCCCGGCCGCGGCCGCAACCCGGATCTGGAGGTTTTTTGCCCAAGGGTTTAGGTTACTTTAGCTTGAAGCTTTCGGGGTTTAGGGTTCTTGGCTCAGGGTTCAGGGTTATGAGTTTGGGCGGCGGTTGTCGCGGATCGATCAGGTAGCAGAGATGGTCTTGAGAGCTGCTTGGCCTGGTGTAGGCTTTTGGGGTTGAGCAGGTTTTTGAGAAGGGTTTGGGGTTCTGGGGCTAGGTGGCAACCAAGAAAGATAGACGGGCTCGCTGACCCGCCACTGGTCAAGACAGTGCAGTGGCTCGCGTCGCTCTATTGTGCCCTGTAGCAATAACAACAGCCCCGCAATTAATTAACTGTGTCTTATTCCACAATCCAAAACCCCCGAAAGCTTGATGCCTTAAACCCTGAAGCCCTAGAGCCCTACACCCTAGTTGGGATTCACCACCGATTGCGCGGGCTCACAGTCGCCGTGATGGTAGGCCTGACGCTGCCGGCAGTGGTCGCGGCAGTAGTGGTCGTGGTGGTGGTGATGGCAGTAGTTGTGGTGGTGGTGGTGGTGGTGGTATGGTGGTATGGTAGCAGAGCAGCAGAAGAGAAGTAGTAGTAGTAGTAGTAGTAGTAGTAGTAGTAGTAGTAGTAGTAGTAGTAGTAGTAGTAGTAGTAGTAGTAGTAGTAGTAGTAGTAGTAGTAGTAGTAATAGTAGCAGTAGTAGTAGTAGTAGTAGCAGTAGCAGCAGTAGTAGTAGTAGTAGTAGTAGTAGTAGTAGTAGTAGTAGTAGCAGTAGCAGTAGCAGTAGCAGTAGCAGTAGCAGTAGCTGTAGCTGTAGCAGTAGCAGTAGCAGTAGCAGTAGCAGTAGCAGTAGCAGCAGCAGGTGTGGTCGTAGTCGTCGTCGCGCAGTAGCAGCGAGCAGGAGCGGGAGCAGGACCAGCAGCAGGAGCAGCAGCAGCGGCAGCAGCAGCAGCAGCCGCAGCAGTAGCAGCATCAGTAGCCGTTGTGGCAGCTTAGTCGCAGTAGTTTCTGTTGTGAAGATGATGGTAGCTGTTGTAGTGGCGGCGGCTGTGCCAGTGGTGGTCGTGGTGGTAGCAGTGGTACGCAGCAGTCTTTGTAGGGGTGCAGGCATAGCAGGGATTAGCAGGGCAGAAGTAACAGCAGGTGAAGCCTTGCTGTCAGTAGCATGTTCATCGAAAAAACTCCTCCAGCGAAAACTTCATGCACATCCATGTGCACAGGCGGAAAAGCTGACCGGCGTTCCTCTTGCCCGCAACTACAGCGAGCACGACGACAGGTGCCTGAAATGCGACTTTGCCCGACCCAACAAGCAATTTAACCCGGACAGGTGAAGCCTGAACCTCTTGGACCCAAACAAAGCTGTGTGGTTGCAGCATACGAAATTCTGAATCCTTTTTGGGCCTCGAGTCTCAGTCCCAACTCAAGTGGCTATTCAGAGTCACCAATGCTCCGATCAGAGCCCTGAAATCCATCATCCTGCAAGCAGATCCAGGCTACTGCTACTACTACTTCCACTACTGCCACTAATGCTACTACTACTAGTACTACTATAGTTACTAGTACTATAGCTGCTGCTGATACAACAACTACTACTACTACGACGACTACTACTGCTACTTCTACCACCACTGCTACTACTGCCGCTGCTTACCACCAATACTGCTACTACAGCTACTATGACCTGAAGCGCTACTAATCTTGACAATGCAACACGTACTGGCAGAACTCCGGGTTCCTCCCTGGCCTTCGCAGGCGGAATGAAGCCGCTCCGGCTGTCAGGCGGCACTTTTTGAGATACGGCGGGAGTTTGCAAGCATTTTCGCGGATTGGACGCAGGGGTTCGAGATGACAAGCATTGCTGGGTTTCAGAAAGCAGGCTGATTGAATCGGGACTGAAGGGACCAGCTGCTTCCAGCTCAGATATGCTGCCTACTGCGATTCCTCCAGCTTGAAGTTTGTTGCATTGATTTGATGCTACATGCGCGTGGATTCTGAGCGAATCCTGTCAGTCGACTTTGCTGTGTTTAGTGACATCTGGCGCCGGGGTGGTGCAAGTGCACCATGCCCATCTTTGTGCCGGGCAGTACGTAATGCTTCCCGCGTGGGACTGGTGGCTGTAATATGTTTTCTTTTGGTTCGCACTTCCGGGAGTACGGTCTTTCTGTGTAGATGGGCAGGAGCCCTCGAATCGTTAGTGCTAAGCCATCCTAACCGAATCAAAATTGAACCCGGGTAGAAATTCAGAACCTGGGGCTGTTGAGGCGTGGAGGCTCGCCAGGCGGCAAGTGGAAGAATGACATGCGTTGGCCTTGGAGACTAATCCATCAACTGCAAATGTTATGCATGTATGGTATGTCAAGTCATCGGCAAGTCATGTTGTGTTATGCTATGCTATGTATGCTAAGTTCGGGTATGTTCTGGTATGTTCGGATGTAATATTATGTTGTGGGATGTGATGTAGTGTGACGTGTTATTATGTTCTGCTATGTGTTGTTATGTGATGTGGGGTGGTGTCATGTTATGTACTGTAATGTTATGTCATGCTCAGTTCGGTTTGGTCATGTGGTGCCTTATTGTTTTATGCTATGCTGTGTTATATGTGTTTCTGTTTTATGTTGCGTTATCTGAAGTATGTACTATGCGGGTATGGACTGTATGCACATATGTAAGTATGTACATATGGATGAACGAAAGAATTAGCGAACGGATGAATCCATGTGCGCATGTAAGTATGCATGCATGCATGTATGTATGTATGTCTGTATGCAGAACAAACTTGGCATACAGATGAGCACACATACAGATACGCACAAACATACACATACACATATGCATATATAATCATATACACACATATACATATAGTCATATATATACATAGACATATAAGGGTTTTCACATATTTACATATAGACATATATACATACATATATACACAGGTACACATATACATATAAGCGTATATACATGCACATGTACATGTACATTTACATATACATGCGCATGTACAGGCACA